TACGGGCTCCCGGCTGCGTGTAAGTATTAGAGGACTCCCCTCCACTTTCTTTCACTGAGAGCTCATCGCCTCTGTCACTCTCTGTAAGCGTCTTAAGCGTGGGTGTCCCACTTTACAGAGTCATAAATCCTCTCACAGTGACTCACAACACAGGGACCTCAATTCAAGTACATTTTGGACTGGAAAGCTGAATTTGTGACAGGCAAAGTTACAAGAAGGAGATTTCAGCCAGATTATTATTATATTATTATAATATTATATATAAATAATATATTAATATTATTATTATTATTATTTGTGAGACAGAGTCTCGCTCTGTAGCCCAGGCTGGAGTGCAGTGGTGCAATCTCAGCTCAATGCAACCTCCACGTCCCAGTTTCAAGAGATTCTCCTGCCTCAGCCCCCTGAGCAGCTGGGATTACAGGTGTCCACTTGCACCTGTCAGGATGGGCGGCTGAGGTCCTCAGGTGCTATGGAGCCTCTGCTTTCTCAGCCCACCGTGGTTGGGTCAGGCTGTTCACATTGCAGTTCTTGGGAACTGTTTGGGATTCTCTTACTATAAGAGGGTTTGTTTTCAATGCCTAAGCCTTCTTTTATCCTACATGGGGTTTGTGACAAGCCACAGTCTTATTGGGGTGATACAAGTTAATAACCACAGGCTAATTTTTGCCAGGAGAGCATGTGGAGAGGACACCAACCACCTGGCGAGCTCTGCACCGAGAGTGATCCCAACTGCACTTAGATCCAGCCACCTGCTGGGAGGTCCTCCAACAGTATTTTTAACGGCATGGCAATGTGAGCACTCACCTCTGAATTCCCTGTTAAAATGCACATCTCTGGCTGCATCCAGGATACGATGGAGTCAGGGAGAATCTCTCATGTCAGGACACAGAATCCCTATGTTTAAGGAATAGCTGCAGTGACTCTTCTGGGCCCAGAGGCTGGACGCTGCCATGGCTATCTCCACACAGCCATCTCATTAGCACTCTGGGGCCTGCTCCGATCCAGATTTGAGGAATACAAAGCTGAGAACGTTGATGAGGCTTAGTGGCCTGTCCCAAACTATACAGACAGCAGAAAACAGAGCTGCAATAATGAACTGTGAACGACCCTCAGCGTTTTATCTACTGAGTCACAACCACCACTGAGGACCACGCTGTGGGGATTGATGACCGAGGCTCCACATTCCCGCCCTCCGGAGCTCTCAGGTGTGGGGATTGATGACTGAGGCTCCACATTCCCACCCTCCAGAGCTCTCAGGTGTGGGGATTGATGAACAAGGTTCCACGACCCATTCCCGCCCTCCAGAGCTCTCAGCTGTGGGGATTGATGACCCAGGCTCCACGGCCCAGTCCCGCCCTCCGGAGCTCTCAGGTGTGGGGATTGATGAACAAGGTTCCACGACCCAGTCCCGCCCTCCGGAGCTCTCAGGTGTGGGGATTGATGACTGAGGCTCCACGACCCACTCCCGCCCTCCGGAGCTCTCAGGTGTGGGGATTGATGACCGAGGCTCCACGGCCCCCTCCCCCCCTCCGGAGCCCTCAGGGAGCAGGCCTGGATGATGAATTCATCGGCCCGCGGCTGTGTGCATTCAACTATTCAGTTTCTGCTGCTGAAGCGTTTGGAGGCACCGTTTGGGCCTGAGAACCCATTCTAAAGTGTTTGCCACGCATCGTGGCCCACCAGCAGCAGGGCTGCCTCACTGTGCCAAGGCCAAGGACAGGCATGACACACGGTGACGCCAGCAAGATGGGCTCTGAAGGGAGGCCCTTAACACACCTCCTTCGTGACCTTTGAGGAACTGAGCACAGTCAGCTGTTCTGTGCACAAATAGGTTTAATTGGGCTGGGCGCGGAGGCTCATGCCTGTAATCCCGGTACTTTGGGAGGCTGAGGCAGGCGGATCACTCGAGGTCAGCAGTTTGAGACCAGCCCGGCCAACATAGTGCAACCCTGTCTCTACCGAAAATACAAAAATTAGCCGGGCATGGTGGTGTGCGCCTGTAATCCAAGCTACTCGGGTGACTGAGGCGGGAGGCTTGAACCCGGGAGGCGGAGGTTGCAGTGAGCCAAGATTGTGCCACTGCACTCCAGCCTGGGTGACAGAGTGAGACCCTGTTTAAAAAAGAAAGTGGGGGCTGGGGACAGACAAATAGCTTTAATTTCATTTGTCTGAAGAGGTGAAAAGTCACCCTTTCTTGCTGAGAATATTAGACTTCTGCAAATTGTTCTCACTTCTTTCTGTTGCCTCAATTTATAAGATTCATCGCCTCAGTCTAAAAGGCCCATGTGTTTCCTGGTGTTATATCAGGTTTAAAATACTTAAAATACTCAGTTAAGAAAACCATTCTAATTTATAATAAAAATCCTAAAGCTCAGCACGGGGAAATGTTAATACCATAGGAAAGTTCAAATAGAATTCTATTTCCACAGAAGAAAATGCTATGACAAAAACTAAGATAAAAAACTTCAGGTTGGAGAGCTTCTGTCTCCACTCTTTGCTTAGGAATATACTTTTAGCAGCATTCCTTTTTTCCCCCAGAAAAATAAAGATTTTAAGCAGAAAAATAATTTTTTCAAGACCCCTCACAAATGAACAATAACACTCGGTTCGGGCTCATGTTGAGTACAAATTTCGTATAGAAATGTTTGGGCCAGCTGCAATGGCTCACACCTTAATCCCAGTACTTTGGGAGGCTGAGGCAGGAAGACAGCTCAGGGCCAAGAGTCCAACACCAGCCTGGGCAACATAGTGAGACCCCATCTCTATAAAAACAAAAAAAGTTAGCTGCCCATGGTGGCATGCACCTGTAGAACCAGCTACTCTGGAGGCTGAGATGGGAGGATCACTTGAGCCCAGGAATTGAAGGCTGCAGTGAGCTGAGAGTGCACCACTGCCCTCCAGCCTGGGCGACAGAGGGTGACCCCATCTCAAAAACACAAACACACAAAAAAGAAGAGAAATGTTTGTGTCTACAAATTTTCAACTCCAAGTTTTTCTTGGTAGGAAGCCAGGTGAGGGTGGAGGAGGGGGTCTTGGGGTCAGAGGAAGAGAGAAGCCCAGGTGGCCCGATGGCTGGGTGTCATCATGGCCGTTGCCTTATCTGCTCTGAGAGTGGGCTGGTGGTGACATGCAGGAGCACCAGGTCTCACCCTCACCGCAGTGTTCACGCAGCCCAGGCCCAAGCACACGGGACGGGAAGGAGCGTCTTCCTCCCACATCCTGGCGGCGCTTTTCATCTGCTCTGAACCGCTTTCTCCCTGGGCTGCCTCAGCGCAAACCCCATAAGCCTGCGAGGCCCATGTCCTTTTCCAGTGTGGGTATGGGGCTCAAGGCCACCCCTCCTGTGCCGAGCTGGTTCGAGGCCCACACTTGACCCTTGGGGTTATCATTGGAGACACCGGAGGCCACAGGGTCCTGAAGACCCCAACCCTGTGTGCAGGGCCCCGTATTTAACATTCTAATCCGAACTCAGCCCAATCTGAAGACAGAGGGTGATCTCCAAGCTCCAATGGCTCAGAAACGTGCAAAGGCACCTCCATGCTCCTCCAGGACGTGGAATGGCCACAAGAGGACAGGTGCGTCCCCAGGGAACGAGGCTCCAAGCCTGTTTCCATGAGGAGGGAGTTTCCAAGGCTCCTGGTCTCAGTCTCCCTGCAGCTCCTACCTCAGCCCCTTCTCCCCAGGGGAGGAGCATGGGGAGCGGCCCCTCCCTCACATCTGGGCTCTCCCGTGAGACCTGCCCCAGGAGCACGGCTCTGTGCTCACTCACAGGGCGTTCTGGGAGCTGCATCCTCCAGGAGTCCTGGTGCCCTGACACCCTGTGGGTAGGTGGGGGCTGAGTGCATCTGACCCCCTGGGGTGGGGGTTGAGTGCATTTGACACCCTGGGGTGGGGGTTGAGTGCATCTGACCCCCTGGGGTGGGGGTTGAGTGCATTTCACACCCTGTGGGGGGTGGGGGAGCAGCTGAGCGCATCTGACACCCTAGGGTGGGGGAATGTGTGCACTGACTCGAGTGGCCTTCACAAGCCCACGTGGCAACAAACCCAGTACCGGTCTCTGGCATAGCTCCTGCAGGTGAGGCCGTGGCTGTGGGTCCCACCTGCCTGGTTTGTGAGCCGTTTCTCAGTGCGTTCTCACCCGGGGGATGGGTGGGAGGACGTGTTCTACGTTAGTTCCCCCAAGCCCCAGTGCACCTGGGAACTTTCATAGAGGCGGCGCTGCTGGTGGAAGGGGAGGGGACACCGGGGAAGACACAGGATGGCCCTAATGCTGTGACCGGTCTGCCCTGGTACATCCCAACCCGCTCCAGGGCAGGGGACTGCACCTGGCAGTCCTACTGACCACTTCTTTCATTTTCTGTATTTTGTGATGTTTTGGCATCTTACAGAGCTTGCTGGCCAGGCCTGGGACAGGCTGTCCTCCTGGGGTCAGCCCATTCTTAAAGATAGGAAGGGCTTGCCTGGGAGCTCATGTCCAGACCAAACAGCCAGAGTCCACACCCCCAACCCCTCCTCAGCTACTCTCACACACAAGCCCCACCCTTTATCACCCCTGGGCCCAGTACCAGGCAACTGGAGACCACCGTGACAGCACAAAGCCCACTGGAAGGACTCAAACCAGTGCAGTGAAGCGGCTCCCTCTGCCCCAACCTGCCTTCCCCGCGAACCACAGTCAAGGCGCCGACCTCGGCTTCCACGTGCTCCTGTGCCGCCCACCCTGGTGCTCCCGAGGCCCTATGTGGTGTGCCCTGATCCCCCGCTGGGGCCCGTGAGCAGACCGAGGAATCCAAGGCACCTGGGAGTGGGAAGAGACACCCCAACTTAGAAGCTCTGTGCGGGGGGAGCTTCAGGAGCGGGTGAGGGCAGTTCCTCACTTGACGGTGGGAGGTGTCAGCCCTGGGTACCGCGTGCAGAGCTAGGATCCCTGATTCACAGGAGAAAACGCCTCATCAGACACCCGCTGTGGAGAAAGAAAAAAGCAATCCAGGCACGCCAGGAGCACTGGCACTTTCTGCATGATTTATTTCATCTCGGCATGAACTGACAGACATACAAGGCTCTGCACTATTTATGCCCAGGATTTTAAAACTCAAGCATTAATAAATACATTACGCAGATCACAACAGCTGGCCTGAACTTGGCCTTCAACAGGTGTAGTGTACCTTTAATAAATGGTAACATTTGAGAATCGCTTAGAGCTTGAATAGGCTTTGGAGGAGCTTTGATCTCACATGAGAACCCGTCTCCTGTTTTATGTGCGTTCCATCCAAATCCATTCACTTGGCGTGTCTGAAGCCAGCACAGTGTCTGTGCCGGGTGCCTGAAGGCTGCACAGCCCAGACTTCCTCCCGGATGTGGAAAACGTGGAAATGATGTGGCCACTGAAAGAAATTCAAGGCAACTGAAACAACTGCAGATTTCCATTTTCAGCTCGTGTTATCTTCTTATGAATAATAACATTGCAGAAGGGGGAAAATCAGAAAGTTGATTGATTTTTAACCCAAAAATAAAACGTTTTGTAAGCTAGGAAAGCATCTAAAATTAACAAGAACACAAAAATGCACTTTTGCTTACATTTGCTCTACTAAGCTCTTACAAGAGATTATGTCTTGAATCTCTCTCGACTTCAGGAAGACAAAAGAACGCTGCAAACATCCTATTTCCAAATCGTTTACAGGAAGTGACTGACAGATTCAATGGTTGCTACCAGAATTACTGAAGTGATACCAGAAATTAGCAGAAACAGAGCAGATGATTAATTTCTTATTTGTAGCCAAACTGATACAGTCACGAGTTTTAGTTAAGTAGCCAAAGGATTTCCACAACATTCATTTTCTTGGAGAAGTCGGTGCCTCCACAGACTCAGAAACCAAATCCTGAAGTTCCAAATCCAGCTCTACAAAGCTGCAGGAAGCAGTGCAGAGTGGAGGGCTGTTCCCAAGATGAAGAATAAAACCGGAAGGAAAAGGAGGAAGGTTCAAGCTCATTCCTCTGCATCCCAAATGAACCTTGATTGGCAATAGAGAAGGGATTGCTGTCAACTGAGCAAAAGGTCAGGCTTCCGTGCATAACATTTTCCCCAAAGGACACCACTGCCTTTCCAGACACTTGGAAAGGCCCCTGCATATGGGTTAATTTCATGAGTCAGACATTTGGAAACGCCCCAGCATATGGGTTAATTTCATGAGAAGTGTGGATAGCTGTTATCAAGGCACCAGCCTCATCTAACTCTTTTAACGGGTGGATGACCAGGAATATTTTTGCACCAACCTTTTTCCTACACAGCGTTGGATGCACACTTAGACCATCACTTTGAATTCGAAAAGATCCTACCTGGGGCATCCGCCGGTGCCAGGCAGTCTCAGCAATGCCTCTGCCCTCCCCGCAGCAGTCCCAGAATCAAAGCCTTGGAGGGTGTGGCTTTTCTCTGTTTCATGGGTGCAAACCCTAGCGGCTCCACACCCCAGGGACCGGCCCCCCAAAAGCAAAAACGTGGCTCATGGCATGGCAGGTCCTCTAGTATGTGTTTCTATGTGATATCACTATTTAGAAACATGGTGTACACTATTCTATATATTTCCACAATAGGTTGGCTGGACATCCTTTAATGGTTGGTATTAATTCCTTTCTCTTATTCTTTAGGTTTCTTCGTGCATTTTGTTGTGAGGTGACAGGGAGTACCTGGGGCTTTGCTGCCGGGGCCCCACAGGAGGCTGTGCTACGTCTAGTGTGGGCATTCCTTCACTAAATGAAATGCTGGAAAGCCACAGGAACTGCACGTGACTGCAGCCACCACTTCTCATATCCTCTTGCGGGGACAGTGTTACTCTGGAAGCCCAATTTCCACATTGCATTTTCAAACAATAAACATTACAGGAATGATTTCACAAGTAAAATCACAGTGATAATAGCATATGAGTTTGATATTTAAGGACTGAAAATATTAGCCTGGTCCTGGTCCCATTTCATATAAAAATTTCTACCATTAATAATAAAATTCTAGAGGGAAAGGCAGGACAGTGTGAATGGTACATTGCTGAAAATGAACATTATTTGTCTCCTTTTGCTGTAAATACTGTTTCTACAACCATTTCTCCAGTATACTCCTATAAAAGGCGAATCAAGTCAGGCGGTATGAAGTGTTTTTCTTTCCCAAGATGATTAACCAAGTTGCCAAGCTATCCCCTCAGTTCATGAGTAACCATGGGCAAGCAAACACATCCCCAGAACATACTCTAACCCAGATCATAAATTCCAGTCCCCGAGTCATGCATAAGGTTCAAGCTGATCACTTCTAAACACACTTAACTGAGACCTCTCATAACGACAGACTCTTTAAAAAGCATAACCTATTTTTCAATTACCCACTGATTTCTACAGAGATGGCAGTTCCCATCACTGGATTAACAAACAAATAATATTAAAGTAGGCATGATTTTAACTAGTTACGTTCCAGTCACTTTCATTTACTTTTACAGTAAGAGAATGGGTTGGATTCGGAGTTCAAATGTTTGCCTCTATTTGTGAGCATGAATCTCATCCTCAAACTCGTAATAGTAAGTCCTCTGTATACACACTTGAAAAGTAAAATGTCAAAACAAATGAGAAACGACCCAAACGACTTGTTTTTAATCCTCATACCCTGTCAATGCAGTGAGCCTCATGTTAATTCTATCAGGGTATTTTGGAATTTAATTCAATACAATTAAGTACATGCAGTTTACTTCCTAATCTATGGTGATAAGCATGTCACTTCCTTGTTATAAACCTTCCTATGCCCACTATCACTCGGCCACACTTTCTTAGAATAATGATTGTAAAAATTAATCTCCCTCATCAGAACTACACGATCCATATTTAAAACATCATAAACAGTGGGTTCAAAATGTGCCTACACTTTCTTTTGATAGAACTGTCAAAACAAAATGATTTTCCCCGTTTTTTAGGAATAATATTTTATCTTGTTCCAGAATATGAAAGCGGCCAGGGATACGGAGTGGGCTATCAAAGATTGCTTTTTAGACAAGCACCCCGGTAAGTTTTTCTTACTTATGATGTGCTGTTTGGTAACATTTAGCCACTAAAGACTTAAAATTTAAATAATGGTAAATCATCGCTACATCAGTTAACATCCCTTAAACTGAAAATATGAAAGCCCCGTTGGTCCAACAGTGCGCCGGAGCTGCTCTAGGCACGTGCGTTTGAGTAGCAATGGTGTGGGGAAAGAAATACTTCCAATGCATATTGGACAAGAAACCTTACTGGTAATCAAAGATTTTACCTTTAATGCTTATTAAATTACTCTTTTTGGAGTTGAGCCAACCAAAGCAAGCACATGGTACGAAATTTTCAACTAAATTAGAAAGAGCTTTACTTATCAGTTATAATTTTAAATCTCAAGCCAAAAATAAAAAGCGTGACCCTCTCTGCGTGCTTCCCCTGATAGTTCGCGGCGACCTACTTCTGCGTCCCAGGCTTCTGCACACAGCCTCGGTGCTCTGCGGGGTTCGGGACACCCCGGGGCCGGCTGCAGGCTGCCTCAGGACCCCGCACTGTGCCCTGAGGATGACCCTTTGGATCCCACAGCCTTCTCTGTGTCCCGTGTCCAGTCTGTCAAGGGACCCATACGCACACCACCTGGGTCTCAAGGCATCGACCCCCAGAAGCAAAGAGAAGCAAAAGGAAAGCAAAGCGGAAGCGGCCCTGAGAGCGTCCTCGGGACTCCTTCGAAGCATCCACACCACCAGCACGGCTAGCGCCCCGACTCCCCGCGTCCTCCTCCGTGGGCTCGATGGGGCCCGGGCCCCGCACCCCCCTG